ACATATGAAATTTCATAAAACGGTAATCAAGTTTTCGATTTATTTGTACTGTTCATATTGTGCTGAGTTCTAAAATCAAAGCTTTTGTTAAATTCAGCATGATTATTATATTGTGGACAAGAGTATGTGCATCAATACTTTTAATGTGTTTTTTTTTAAATCAATTTATCGATTTATTTGTACTGTTCATATTGTGTTGAGTTCAACAATCAAAGCTTTTGTTAAATTCAGCATGATTATTATATTGTGGACAAGAGTATGTGCTTCAATATTTTAAATGTGTTTTTAAAAGTACCATGTGATGCTTACAAGAAACAAACACCAGTAGATTATACGACATCAGATCACAAGGTAATCTTCAAAATAAAATAAATTAGAAATTATAACAAACATATGTAGTGTACCTACTACATTACTTTACAAAAAAAAAAATTGAAAGCGATGAAATTAAATATTCGATTAGTTGACAAAACATGTTTACCTTAAATTTGTTTTCATATTTAAAGGAATATTTTATAGATCTCAGTTTTCTAAAGTTAATACAAACTAAACCACAGTAATATTATATGTCTTTATAAGACATAATAGTTTACAGAGTAAATCTTTTAGAACTTAAAAACAATTATTAATTATGTTATGTATAAAATGAGTTATAACATTGTTTGAAAATAATCTTTTAATTTTTAAAATTACAGGCTTGCTTTAATATTTGTAAAGAAAATTTATTATGTAATGGTTACACCTATGAGGTTGGTGTTCCAAAAAATTGTAGTGTTTGTACTGTCTGGAAACGTAACTAACACTAACATAGAATTAAGTGGAGCTGGCTTTGTGACTTGTCGAAACGAAACAGGTTAGCTATTCCATGTAAATGTCTAAAAAATTTACTTTTTATGTATAAAATAAAATCTTATTGGTTTTTGAGTCAGAAAAATAAATGATCAATATAACTACCAAATATTATACTGAAAATGAACTTTATTCATGTGTATTTGTGGTGACAGGACAAATGATCTCAGGACAAATGATCTCAGACAAAATATCTCAGACAAAATATCTCACGGACAAATGATCTCAAGACAAATGATCTCAGGACAAATGATCTCAAGGACAAATGATCTCACGGACAAAAGATACCAGGACAAAATATATCAAGACAAATGATACCACGGACAATTGATCTCAGACAAAATATCTCAGACAAAATATCTCGCACCTAAATTTTAATAGTGTATTGGATGATTTTAATTGATCTGAAATTTTTGTATTGACTGTCTTATGGTTTTGTTTACTATGTTTAATATTGTTTGTAGGCCTATATAATAATTGTAAGAAATGTTTGCCGCATAAAATAGGTATATTGCACTAAACATTTTAAGGTAAGTATTAGTAATATAGTATACCAAGATTAAAGAAATAATTTCGAAAGACAGAGTAGTTGGGCTTGCCAAACATGAGACAATCCTACCACGTCAGGTGGACGAAACTAGATCAAAGAGGATGGAATAACAATAAAGACACACCTTCGTATCAAGGTAGCCGCCCGCTTTGATGGCAGAGACATGCCTTAGGGGAAAGGCATCCGCCCTCCATGGACAATACGACTAGCATATAAAGTCTATTATTATGCGTCGGTCACACCTTAGTGATCAGGAGACTAATGCTTATTTAAACAACAGCAGTCATCGCGGAGCTAAGTATGTCGTAGTGTGCATCAAACAACGCAGTATTCATGGTGATTGCTTTGCTATGGTCTCTTTCGTTACCTCGCAGAAAGGTATTAGGACATAAGGTTTCTGGTGAATTTATGTTGTCATAAGCAGGCAAAGAGATATGGAAATGTAAAATTAGGACATGTCGAGCAAGAGTTCACACAATAGATGACCACATAGTCATGGAGTCGTGTGATCATAACGATGTACCTACCAGAAAAGAAACGTACACGTTATGTTTGTGTTGATGATGTAATAAAAACAATAGTTTAACGTTACGAACCTTCAGACCCATTCACATTTTGAAAAATATTTCGCGTGTTATGAAAATTAATGTTGTATAGCTACCGTTACTTTATTTATTTTATACATTATCATTTATTATACCTTTCAGGCTAAAAGAGTAAGTTTGTTTTAATTTTTACTTTTTCAAATCAAATGCTACTACAATTGTTTAATACACCTTTTGGTGGTTTGTTAGGTTTCACTAATTCTTTTTATTCAATATTATTATACGTAAAAAAGTAAACAAAACCATATTAACAGTCAATAAAAAAGTTCAACTAAAATCATTGTAAATACTATTAAAATTTCGCTGTGAGATATTTTGTCTGAGATATTTTGTCTGAGATCATTTGTCCATGATATCATTTGTCCTGATATATTTTGTCCTGGTATCTTTTGTCCGTGAGATCAATTGTCCTTGAGATCATTTGTCCTGAGATCATTTATCCTGAGATCATTTGTCCGTGAGATATTTTGTCTGAGATATTTTGTCTGAGATCATTTGTCTTGAGATCATTTGTCATGGAACCGTATTTGTACATGTATAAAGGCAAAAATTAACATGCTTATTTAATATTTTTTAAGCGCCATGTTCTGCTTATGATGATTATACCAGCATATCAACAGCTGACCAAACACACAAGGTAAAATGCACATTTAACTTATGAAGTAATTCATTTAATCTTTGTCGCAATATTTCTTTGTTTATTGTTATACTAGTCATTGGTACCCGTTATACTAGTCATTGGTACCCATTACACGTGCAACTCTGGTGACTTTAGCTCTCTTCTCTTTACAAAAAGCTACCCGGTTTTTCTTTTAGATATGTATCTCCGGGGAGCAGCATTTAAAGCTGTTCGGACAAGGGTGTGGGGGTTTGTGTGCGTGGGGGATGGGTAGCGGATACTGGTTTTTCTATATTTTTGTATGAATTACTTCGGAGGTGAAAGGGGAAGAAACCATAGAGATGCCTGAAGAAAATGCTTATACCTACGGAAAGTGAGTATAGAAATGAGTTATAATTCAGCTTTTAAAAAAGTCTGTATCGTAAACTTTTGAAAAGAAACATTTTATTGATCAAGAACATTGGAATGAAACATTGTTAAGACTATGAAAAAAGGAGTTTTGTTTTCTTTACTGTCTATGCTTATACTTGTTTAAAATAACATATACTATCAATACGTATTAGAAAAATTAAAACCAAATTATATACAGTATTAGTCAACACAATATCATATTAAATACACTTGCTGATTAAGAGACTAAAAAGATTTCGTTAAAAAACCGGCTGTTCAATGGAAGCTATGTTGTTTTTGTCTTTTAAAAACACCTGTTTCAGCAGGGCATGGTTCTGACCACATTTTTCCTCCATATGCAGGAAAGACAGAAACAGTAGTTGAAATAGTAGTAAATAATTTATTTTCTATTGTTAGTGTATTATTACATACCAGCTAGTTATCAAAACGTTTTAATGACATTTTTGTAGTACTTTACATGTTTTATTTACGCTAGAGTTGCATGACTAAAAACCATTGCGCACCTATTGAATGTGATGACGCGCTATTGAACGAGATGACGCGTGTAATATAGTGCAAAGTAGTTGGATAGTACTGACTACTAATTTGGTCAAAATTTTAATAAATGCAAAAAACATTAACTAGGCAACTAATTAAGTCAAATTGAATGTCATGTTGCATTGACTTCATGTCTTGACATACGTACCAACTACGAACCGCATCTGTCAGTTAGAAATGCCTGCAATTTAGCTCGGGCGTTTCGATCTAGACCGACAGACTGACGAGAGAGGAAGTGAGTTAAATAGAAGCTTGTAATAAAAAGTAGGCTAGTTCCATAATAAACTGCATAACACTATGTATTATTCAGCGATCTCAATTCGCAATAGGGCATACTCTGTAGAAATATATTTAGATAACATTATTTAATTATAAATTATGCAATAATTGTATACAAAACAATAAATGCTTTGCTAATCTACAAGCAAAGCATTAAAGTATGCATTAGGGAATAATAATATGTTACCTTCAACTACGTCAGTCAAATCTTCATCACCAACATCCGATAGGACCCCGATTTCTGTTCACTTTCGCTATTTCATCATTGGACAACTCACCACCTTCAGAGTTAAAAAGAGTAGCTCAGATTAAAATATTAGAGGAATTTTATGTTAAAACTCTTGGATCCATGGGTACGAATATGTGAAAGCCTAACATAAAAACAGAAGGTTATTCACAACTGTAATTTATTAGCTCCAACCCTAGCTCTGAACTCTAAATGATAAATATATCTATATATATATATATATATATAAAGCAAAGTGGTCAGGTGCCTGATACGGCACTTCCCGGCGCCGCAGGAGCGTCAAATTTGGCACGATGGTGCCTTGGGGCGATAGAACACGAGGGCTGGTGACGGTTTGCCGAAAAGTCTACGCAGAGGGGGTCAAAACTGACCTAGACTGGCCGGCGCCTTATATGGGCTATATTACGAAAAAAAAAATTCCCCCGACGACCCCCCTTGAAATTTTGTGAGGTTGTAGGAGAACGCCTTGGGGTGTCACAAAAAACTCGCCATTCCGGGAGAAATCTGGAAATGGGTCAAAACTGACCAGTCGTATTTCCCTATATAATCTTTTTATTTTATGGGAAAAACAGAGGGTAATTTGAAAACGGATTTTTGGGCACTTACCCTCTTTACATCTGGCTAAATTTTTGGATACTTATAGGTAAATGGCCTAGCCGTAGGGCAAACCTGTCGGTTTCACTCAAAGTCCTCGATGAGGGCTAAAAGGTGACCACGAGTGAAATTCTCTTTATATAAGCTCTATTACGAAAAAACATTTCCTCCGACGACCCCCCTTGACATTTTGTGAGGTGGTAGGAGAACACCTTGGAGTGGCATAACAAACTCGCCATGTCCGGGAAAAATCGGGAAATGGGTCAAAACTGACCAGTCGTACTTCCCTATATAATCTTCGTATTTTATGGGAAAAACAGAGGGTAATTTGAAAACGGATTTTAGGGGACTTACCCTCTTTACATCTGGCTATTTTTTGGCATGCTTATAGGTAAATGGGTAATCCGTAGGGCAAACCTATCGCGGGCGATTTTACGTACCTAAAACGATAGATTACCTGTTAAATTGACATTTTGCAGATTAAAAAATGCATAGCCCATTTGATTTGAAATTTTTTTTTTTAAATTGTACAATGGAATGGCGCATTCTGTTATGTTTATATGTAACGTATTTTACGCACATTGTTTTACGACATGTATGCGTTTGTTTGCGATATTAGTAAAATAAGTGTATACAATGTCTGGGAATAAAATTATGTTTCGATTTAAATTTTCGAAAGTCTGATTGAAAGTTCGTTACAACCCGACCTAAACCATTATGTTTCTTTTGATTAACAGTATTCCGGTGTTTTTTGAATGTCTTAATAATAGTATTTGTAGAGTCATGCAAATTAATTGATTTGATACTCATACGGAGTCTAAAAAACTTGATTTCGCTGATGATAAAACCTTGCTAGCTATAAAATAAACCATAGACAGCTTTTAAGGTGACTATAAAACGAATTGCGATTTTTAAAAAAATTAAAGAGAAATATTTAAACTTAACCACAAAACTGAAATAATATCTTACCCTATTGTCAAAGCAGTCTTTTCACGATATTTTACGGTTCCGAACTTAGAGAACAACGAGAAAACAAAGTCAGACTTCCGTTAACATAAACCTATAAAATTTCAAAAATATAATGGTATGAAAAAACAAAAGACAAGTGGACTGACAAGAGTAGACATGCCAGTTCAAGAAATACTTTATACTTTATTTCCAATGGAGTATAAATTCTTCATTGCTAGAGATGCATCAGAGCGGAACCCCGATGTTAATGATTCAGAGAACAATCCAAGAAAAAATGCACAGAGCTGGCTAAAATACTGAAGTTTGACATGGGATTCAGCGAACAACTCTATCACACGATAAAAAACCCATTAAACTCTACATATTATTATTTTATTATCACCATCACTATTCTGATTATTTACTAAATTTTAATTTAAGAGTATTTAGGCGTATGGTCATATTGCTGGCCACGCTATCCCTGCATATGCCGTTGTCTTTGAAGCAGAACTCTACTTTATCTGCCCCATATGTCTTGGGCACGAACGGGAAATAAAGATGATGATTCACAGAATAATCTACCGCAGTTTATATGTGGGTTTAATTATAACCTTAGATTTATAAAGAAACACTTGAACAAAAAGAGTCAATAAAATCAAGTTTTGTATTTGTTATCACATTTTGTAACAAGTGAGTATTATAAAAATTGTTAAAACAGCTTCAGCAATTAGAGCTGGCTGCAAACATAACCATAGCTCATGTATTGTGTTAAGGTAAAAGAAGCAAAACCGAGCATCTTGCAGTTACAATGCCATTCAGTGTAGAATTTCCTCAAAACAGCATTGGAGATAATGTTTATTCATGTTTTGTTTATATAACATATTTATTACAAAATACAGCTAATATTGAAAATAATAATAATGTGAAATAGAGTTATATAGTGTTGAAGGGAGATTTTATTTTACATCCAAGATTTTCATCTGCAGGCTTGTTTTATGTCTTGCGCTGCGTATCATACATGCTTGAGATACACTTATGTCAGCCAAACATACTGTAACCACCTTGTCGCAGCTGGGAACAAGTATGACATAAACACGAATATATGGGCTAACGCATACATGGTTTGCTGATTGGTGTAAGTCATTGAGTAAAGATTGATTTTTAAATTTTGCTCTTGTTATTTAAGTAGATGAAATGATTTGTACTCATAGCGTATTGAGAAATACAAAACAAGGACGAACTCTGTATACTTCTTTATTTTACTATTACAGAATTCTTTACCTAAAATGCATTTTTTTCCCAGATAGGCCCCTATGTCCAGAGTTTCAAAAGATTTTGGATCCAAAAAGTTATTCAAGTTTTAAAGTTCCTAAACATGTATTGATCAACAGCGTTTGCCAAATGTAAACTGTTGGTTTTGTATTACAAAATAAAACATTTTTTTTTTAAAATTACCTTTAAATTAAACTAAATCTTAGTTTTCACTTAGTGTTTCTTTCTTATTTTTAATACCGTGTTTCTTCTAATCGTCTACATTTATGTTATTACATTTTTTAAAGTTTATAACCCTGTTATAATGTTATTCATTGCGAGTAATATAATTTTTGTTTAGTATTTATGTAACCTTCTTTATGCATCCCAACAAGTTTAATATGACCTAATAAAGGCCCACACTGCAAGCGGCAGACAGACAGAACATTAGTCTACGAATTTAATCCGGATATGGAGCAGACACGATTTACTTTGTTATACCATATCATATTTTCTAAAAAATATTTAATGAGCTAACTTTATATTATAACTCGTAATTTGATAAATAAATATGAATTGATGTATATATATATATATATATATATACTTTAAAAAGTTGTTGTAAACAACCAAAGGTACAAAAGTGTCTACTACAATGAACAAAATAACAGTTACAAATTCAGAAACTTACGTTTATGATGCTCCAGACAAAGTGGTATATTATATAGATATGACATTTAACTTTTTCATCATTACCCTTCTGTGTGTGACTGTTTTTGTAGGAAACATTCTCAACTTTGTGATTATTATTTAAAACGGGTTGTAAAACAACAAATATTGTTTTATTATCTTTGGCCGTGTCGGATATTTTTTCATTGACCGAACTGTTCTATCAACTTTGCCGCATTTTGAAGTGATTTGATAACATGACATCATTTGTGATGTATTCATATTTTATGGTGTATATACTCGGATGGAATCAGTGCGCTTGGTGTCAAAGTTGCTGCTTTAGTAGCTGTAGAGAGAATGATAGCAGTAATTTTTCCATTTGCTGCCTCGAGATTACTTACAACATTTCGTGTCAAGCGTATCGTGGTCACTGTTTTTGCATTTACAGCTGTACTGTATATACCACGTTCATTTATGTATACACTGGTATGGTTGTACTTCGTTGAAGTAAATGGAACGCTCACTGCAGCTGTCAAGGGGGTATTTTTAAAGGATTATAATTACACTTTTATTATTTACAACGATGTGTTCTTAATCATATATGCCGTTTTTATCCCAGTATTGGGTGCGCGGACCTTAGACCACAGGTGCTTTGACCATAGGGGCTTTGACCATAAGGGGTTTGACCACAGCGGGCCTTTGACCATAGCGGTGCTTTGACCATAAGGTGTTTGATCATAGGGTGTTTGACCACAGGTGTTTTCTCAGCAGAGTGTCTTTGATCAACTTTAACTGTATGCCTGTTTATGATTATATTAGTATATGTGATTATAGCTACTCGCGTTGCATTGGGTTTTAATATAATGTGGATTATTGATCGCATTTTAAAACTAATATATCAACTAAACACTTCAGTGAATTTTTTCATTTATGTGACAATAAGCCCGAAATTTTCAAAGACGTATAGGAAATTATTTTTGTGTAAATGATGTAAAATTCACTAACAAACACATAAAATGAATACAATAAATTGTTAGTAAATTAGTTAAATAACATTTTTACAAATAATACAATTTGAAAAAACAACAAAAAACATAATAAAATATTTGGTTTTGAAGCAGGATGAATGCAACCAACTAATTGCAACGTATATCCCAACATTTTCCAAAATGTCCATACATAATAATATATGACAACAAATTTAAAACTTAGCATAATGTGTAACCAATAATCGTATAATGTGGTATTAATTATATAAAATAAATTAAATTTTGTTAAAATCGTTTTGAGTTTTAACAATTGTTCCACGAATAACTATTTCTAAGATGTTGCAAATCATATATTAGCTAAAAATTTATGTTGCATTTTAAAAAAATAAAAATGTATTTTGTGCACATTTTAATGCAATGTGTAACTTATTTCCTTCGTAGTATATGCGTTAATTTGTAATATATATATATATATATATATATATATATATATATATATATATATATATATATATATATATATATATATATATATATAGGTGTTTTAATTAAAATATGCGTTTTAAGTTGTCAAAATCAAAATTAATTTTTTTATTCAAGAAAAAGCGTAGTCCTACATTCATAAAACATTACATTTTTCTCTGAAGCTTAGTGACATTTTAGCAATGCACCTACTTTTTAATGCATTTTAGATTTTTTTTTCATTGTCACCCATTTGAAAAAACGGACTATTTTTGTAATTAATAAATACTTGTAGAATACTATGTGAATTGTAAATACGCTTATATGTATATAATTCATAAAAAATAATTTTGATACTAAAATGGAAATCATCATAATAATTAGGTATGCATTTTGCGCATTTTTATCTACTGTTACATTATTTAAGCACAGTTAAGATCGTTATTTCCTTTTATTAGACAGGTCAGCACATCTTTTCTCTGGGTCTATCTGTAGTTAACTAACTCAAAGATACACATCAGGTACACGGTAAACACTTTGTATACAAGGGACGTAACTACGATATCACTACAATAGAGTCCTTTCATATGACGTCACGTCCGTTCGTGATACCTACGCCCGCCGCCACAGTGGTGTACACCAGACGTAAACACAATCAGCTGTTCACCAGCGCTGGACGCGTTCACCAGCGCTGGACGTGTTCACCGTATGTAAAGAACCGCACCCGCGGAAAGGGAAAAATATGTTAAAAAACTTGAACTCTTAGGAATTGAAGATCCTTATACTGTTATTGACAGTTTCGTAGATAATATAAATATGTGGCCAAAATTTCTAAATAAAAATACTGTTAGTAATACTGTTTGCGTTTAGAGTTTAAGTAGACGAATCTGATCAAATGCAGTTCTCGATACTTTGTTTCAGGTAAGGACAGTAAAATAATAAACTTCATTTTAATTATAAAAGATAACTATTAATAAAAGACAAAGTCAAAAGTAATAATAAGAAGAATAAGATCTAATAGTAGGCCTAATAATAGTGTTTTAATATCTAGATCTAGAATCTAGCTCTAAACATGGCGTAAACAAAATTCGGACCACAGATCTAGATTCTGGATTTAGGGTGACTGACTCCGCTGGGTAGACATAGAATCTAGAATCTACTTCTTTACTTAAATTTAATTACAAAATTTAGATCTACATTCGATTCAAAATACACCCATAATAAATCAAAAGTAGTCATAATACTATTATACGCCTAATAAAGCATTTAATTGTCTCTAAGATCTAAAATCTCGCTCTATAATCTAATCATTTTTTTAGCAAACGAAATTTTCTGAAATTGAAATAGATTGTATGACTAGACTTAGATCTAGAATCTGCTACTTAAATTGTAAAAACTGTATACAAGCATGTAGTTGATATTACTGTAGTAGAAGGCTTCAATAAATTACTAAGGCCTACCTACTTTGTTGTCTTTTACAGCAATATGTATCTGATACTGGACTGAGTTTAATTAAATTCAAATTCATATCTAGTAATTGGTCTACTAAGTTTTTGTAGCCTAGTAGTACAATCTAGATCATACCAGCCAACAACAAATAACCACATTATTATTATTTGGTTAATGATTAGGCTAATTTTTTTTTTAAAATCCACTGTTTATAAAAGAAACAAATCAATCTAGAAACATTATAAGTGAGATGGTTTAGAATAATAACATTGGACCCAGTCTACAATTGATACAATTGCAGGTCTACATAGGGCCTACAGTCTAGTAGTTTACAGTAGGCACCTAGTGTGTAGCTAGTATACTAGTGTGTAGCTGTCCAGAGTTAAGATTCTTAATGCCTTAATGCTTTCCCCTGATAAGCCATGTGTGCTATAAATGACATAACATGACATCGAGGTGAGAAATGTTGAGGGGAGAGCAGTGGGACTTTCCCCTTTGTTCTCCCTGCTGGGCCCTGAGGGTCAAAATTATAAAAGAAATACTATCTCTGTGGGGCTGGGTATCATGGAGGTGAGACATTTTCAGGGGAGGGCAGGGCAGACTCCTCTTTCGTTTTATTGTGGGCTAGATACAGGTGGCGGCTGGCCACCATGAGGGTTGAACATCAGTATTAATGTGTCTGATCACTTCCCTGCTGGATTATAAGGTCTTAAATTGTATAACATGCTACCCAGATTGGTTATTACCCATGGAATATATTAGTCGTTGTAGTGTGGGTTTTGTAGGAGTTAAGTGGTCTCACGTTTGCCACAGTAGATAACCTATAATATATTACTTCATTAATCAGATTCGTCTACTTAAACTCTAAACGCAAACGGTATTACTAACAGTATTTTTATTTAGAAATTTTGGCCACATATTTATATTATCCACGAAACTGTCAATAACAGTATAAGGATCTTCAATTCCTAAGAGTTCAAGTTTTTAAACATATTTTTCCTTTTCCGCGGGTGTGATTCTTTACATACGGTGAACACGTCCAGCGCTGGTGAACACGTCCAGTGCTGGTGAACAGCTGATTGTGTTTACGTCTGGTGTACACCACTGTGGCGGCGGGCGTAGGTATCACGTGATTTAGGTCACGTGTTTGCAAGGACTCTATAGTTTCGCTTCTGTGTCTGTCCGGAACGCTTTAGAGAATAAAACACAATGAAATTTAAAAGTTGCGTAGGGAAAGACCGTGACGTCCCATTTTACGTATAGAGCATTTTCAAAACGATACGAAATAATGTGTTCAATTATAAAGCCGCAAAATTACACATTATAAAATGACTTCTTCTACAGTAAAAATTGAGTTAAAAATTCAATGCCGAAAAAATACACAATATTAATTATTACGTCGCTACTCTACCACTGGTAAAGATAACGCACGTACCGAATTCTTGTGGATGGTTGTAGACTGATGACTTACGAAACTAAAAGAGTTCCAGACAACAAAAACTCTCCGTGAACTCGTATCTAACGTCTAGGGGAAAAACACGAAGAACTCCTGTAACTAATAACACTTTTAATCAATTTACAACCTTTTAAAGTGTATACAAGT